ATTGAATAAAAAACTAAAAATTAAATTATTATTTTTAGTTTCAACATAAAAATAAGTCATTATATATTTAAGAGTAAACTACATTTTTGGTCCCTAAGGTTTAATAAAATATATGAAAATGGAATTTAAAATATGATTGAACAATTTTACCCCTATCTCTAACTTATAAATTCGATGGAGCTATTAGTCAGGTCTCACTTTCATAACAAAATGCATCTTTGGAGGATGAAACCTCAATTTATTGAAGTTTAAGTTCTACTTTCAGACATTACACGTCCTGCTTGTTTTTTTAAAACCAACTCTTATTAACTTCTTATGTCTGATTCGTTAAGAGGTAAGACCATTCAGACTATTTGTTTTTCCAAAATTTCAGAGACATTTATGTCTTATTGTTCTCTTATTTATCTTTATTGTTCTTCAAACCTTTAACAATGGCTTTTCTCAATCGATTAACCTTAATTGATCATTTACCAAATCGATCATCACCTCTCTCAATATGATTTAAATGTGCTAAATACCATTAATGACATATTTTCGTTTAAATAAATGCTAATTATATAATTTAGATATAAATTTTGTAATGATAATGAATAAATATTAGAAATTTATAGTTATAATGAATAACTATAAATTTCTAATGGGTAAAATAGACAATTTAAATAAAAATTCAGACATTTATCAGTTTACAAAAATAAACAATCTTACTTATTCGGATTTTAAACTTTACCATAACCTTTTATCAATTAAAAATAAAAATAAAACTTCAAACTTTAATATATTTTAAAAAACAAACACCATCTAAATCAGTTGTAATTTATTGATAAATAAATAAACATGGATGGTTGAATATTGAAAGTGGCCATGTTGACCATGTTGAAGATTTCAAACAAATTTTGGACCAATTATGACACTCACACCCTTGCATTGGTCAACTATGCACAACTCTTTCACTTGATTGATTGGTCAACTATTTTTATTCAACATAATTTCTCTTTGATAACGTCAACTTTATGGTTGTTATGTGCTTATTTTAATTTTATAATAGTTTTTAAGTGTTGACGATATTACAAGGTATTATTGAAACCTCACACGGTATAATATAATTTTTCTTTGTGGTCAGTGGTTACGAAGGTTCAAATACGATGATTTTAGATTATCCGTAAAATGGATGGACATCCTGAAATTAATTGGTTCGTATAACAAGTTGAATATCCATGTTAATTAATATATACTAGAAGGGAATGTTTTATTTTATTCTTTACCTATATCGATATAGTACAGTTTTATGTGGTTCTGAGAAAACGATAATGTTTTTATTTTTGAATAAGATATAAAAATTGAAAATATTATAAAATTTAAAAAAAAAAAATATCAATATTAGTATCAAATTAACTATTTAAAAGTTCTAATTTTTTGTAATTTCTTTAATTCAACATTTTTATTATAATATAATTTAACGTAACAAAGTAATTTAATTTAGGTTTAATAATATAATTTTTTATAAAGATAATCATTAAGTATTTTGTTAGAACTCAATGATTATTCTAATTATATTTAAGATTTTTTATATTTAAAATGAGATGTTTATCCTGTATTTGATTATGTTTATCTACAGTTAGTTACACAAATTCAAAGGTAGAGCTTTAATAAGTTGTCCTTACGCACAACTTATTTGTGATCTTGAATTTTAAGTAATATACATTAATAAACAGTACTTCGTGCATAAAAAATGGCTTTAAAAGTTTTTGTCAAATACTTTATAATATAGTATAGATATATTTAACTTTATAGATAAAGTTTTTTGTTCATTTCGAGAACATTTTTCAATCCATTTTATACGTAATAAAGTTGTGAGAAACTGTTATCAAAAGCATTTACAACAATTAATATTAAAAAGAAGTTACATATAAAATCATTTGATTGTTAAGCATACACTTCGGGTGTTAATAAAAATTATGCTTAATAGACATAAGTTAACTTATTTTTTGAGCTTATTTCAAAAGCTCTATCGAGACTTAAAATGAGCAAAAAGCAGCATATAAATTAGTTTATCATTTCAATAAGTTTCAGAAGCTTTTTGTCGCTTTCTTCCAATTATACCCCTGATAACATCAATTGGTATTGATTATCGATAAATAGTAAATATTATCAGAGCTACCAACTAGCTAGCTTATCAACCAATATCTGACTTATCATTTAGTTTACCAGTCTTAAATATAAGTTCAACGGCTGGATGTGTTAAGTCTTAAATACAAGTTCCAACGGTTTGATGCGTATTACATCTATAAAGAAAGGATTAAATTGGATTTAGGATTTGGAGCGTTTAAACTAGATCATGGGTGTGAAGAGGTCTTAAAAGTTCTTTGAAAGTGGCATCGACAACTTAAAAGGCGCCACTAATCCACGGATTTCCGCACCTAATTGGAACCGAACCCGAGAGTAAGAAGAACCACCCTTCTTACTGACTCAAGAGATTGCTATTTGACCTAAAACCCTTCTGGTTAAAAGGTCGCAATGATCGGGAGCAACTGATAACCTTGAAAACTTGTTGTCGAGTGATGCAAAATTGAATTTGCTTTACAAACCATCACGTCTTGGTTTTCGTTCTTAATCAATAACGATCTCTATAACAATACAGAAACATTAATAACTCATAAGATATAAATGTATCTGATTATCAGTTATGCAAAAAGAGAGTTGTAACAAATTTACCTTAATTTGAACAACATGGTAACTGCATTTTCCATATACATTGGAATTGGAATTGGAATTGGAATTGGAATTGGAATTGGAATTTATGTTTTATTGTATTTAAAAAAAAAAAAAAAACGAAAGACAATTGGGTGACAGTTATTCCGTTAAAAAGGAAAAGAAAAATAGTTCCTCCTGTCGTACCTTTTGAAGTTGAAGGAAACGCGGCTGCCTGTTTGCCAATCCCCCACACGCCTAATTTTAGAAACTCCATAGAAACAACGAAAAATTGCACAACCCCACACTCGTAAACCCTAAATTTCCTTTATGTTCCCTTTTCTTTCATCTTCATAACCCTCTTACCCTAAATTCATCCAATTTACTCTCACTTCTTCAAATTCAAGAACAAGGGAAAAAGGTCAAAATTTTGAATTAGGAATCAGTTGGGTTGTTTTAATTATCATACATCCTAATCTGTCGACCTATCTTTATTTGCCTTTGTTTCCTAATCAAGCTATCAGAAAAAGACCTACAGCATTTGGAGAATGGAGTTGCTTTTGACGGAAGAGAATGGGAAGAAGAGGAGTTTAATCACTGATGAGAATTCTGAGCGAAAGAGAAGGAAGCAAGAACATAGCAACTATGGAGATGGAATGGCTTGGTTTAGAGGTTCTTTGATTGGAAAAGGTTGTTTTGGGTCTGTTTTTCTTGCGAATTTGAAGAAACCCAAATCCAGATACAGCTCTTATCCACCAATCATGGCTGTCAAATCGGCTGAGGTCTCTGTTTCATCTTCAATTCAAAAGGAACGAGAGGTTTTGAATAACATTCGTGGGTGTCGTAATGTGATCAGATGTTTTGGGGAAGAGATTACCACCGGTGAGAATGGTCAGATGGTGTACAATTTGCTGCTGGAGTATGGCTCCGGCGGAACCCTAGCTGATCTCATCAAGAAATCCGATGGGAATGGGTTGCCGGAATTTGATGCTAGACGTCATACTAGGTCAATTCTTCGTGGGTTACGTCATATTCATCATTGTGGCTATGTTCATTGCGATTTGAAACCTGAAAATATCTTGCTCGTCGCAAGTTCTGTCGATGGTGGTTTTACGGCCAAGATTGGTGATCTGGGATTAGCAAAGAGGGCAAAGCAGAGCAAGAAGAGCAAGTCGGTGTCTTATTGGAGAGGAACTCCGATGTACTTTTCGCCGGAAGTTGTGATCGACGGTGTCCAAGAGCCTCCTTCTGATATCTGGACAATTGGGTGTGTTTTGCTTGAGATGTTAACTGGGAAACCACCATGGGATTCGAAACCGGAAACCAACGGCGACGAGATTCTATCTCGTATCGGTGAAAACAACGAATCTCCTTCCATTCCCACCACTATATCAAGAGAAGCAAGGAGTTTCTTGAAGGGTTGTTTCTCTAGAAAAGCTATGTACAGATGGACGGCGGAGATGCTGTTAGCTCATCCGTTCCTAGAAGGTATTGGTGACGATGAAGATGATGATCATAAAGTCGAAGAACCAGAGGTTTTGGACATAAATGCCATCAGTTCATCGATGATGTCTGAAAGTGAGGATGATGATGAGATCAGTTTCTCATCTTTTTCAGATGGGTCCGAAGAAGAGCTCTATTTTTGGTCTGAAGAAGATGCTGACGGTATGGAAAACGAGATAAGTTCTTGCTTTTCTGTAGAAGAGAGTTTGAAAGCAGATCGAAGTACGACCGCCCCATTGAATGAAGTACATCAATACCCTATTAGCTTTACCATTTCTTCAGGAGTTTAGCATTAATGGTTGTGAGATTTTAGGTAATTACATAGTGATTGCATCATACTTTCCTTAATTAGCAATATTCGAGATATAGATTACACTGATCTTTGCTTCTTGATGGTATCATTCGTTCAAATTCGATTCATTCTTTGTGTCATCATCTGCATCATTTAATGTGGGAATACGGATGTTGTCTTTGTTTTTCTTTTTGTATCAGATAAACTATGGATTTCGGTCTTCGTTATTACGAGTCTTTTTCAAGCATTTGTGGCAAAATACTTATCTTGATTCATGCTTATCGGAAACTTTGAACACGCTCCATCTTCGATCATCACTTGTAATCAAGTAATCAAAGAGATCGATTGTATGTTTCCTTATTCAAGATCGATTGTACGGATGAATAAAAAGCCATTACACCAGGGATTCAATATGATTTTGGCTTCATTGGTCATATTGTGCTACTGTTAAGAACTGTCTTCCGAGCCCGTATCTTATTAGATGATCAGCATGCTGCATGTTCTTGGAGTTTTGGTGTGAAAAACTGGTTATGATTTCGTGATATATACGGGTTTATATATGTATACGTTTTGGTCTGATTTGCTCGTATCAATCGTCTGAAGGGTGGATGTGCATGCACGGATTGTAAACGACTCGGTTCATGAACAAAAAGACTGGTGCAGGCTCGTTTGTGAGTTCATGGGTATGATATGAATCAGGGTTCGTTCCATTTCAGGGCTAAAGGGCTATTGGAGATGCTCTAAGGTTTTTACTGAATCATTTGACATATATATGCCTTAAAATAGCTAATAGCAACTTAGTTTGCTTTTCTTTCGCAAAATGTTTTTGGGTGAAATGGAATCTGTTAAAGAAATTTGACTTTGAAAGAATTAGAATGAAATGTTGTCAAGTTTGACCAACAACATATTCTTTATAATTTCTCTATAATAAAAAACCAAAAGTTAAAATCTCTAAAATAAATTACATTCATTTCCAACTGATTCTTTATTTTATTATTTAAATATTATATAATTTTATGATCCCAATACACTTGAAAGAAACTTCTCTATATAATAATATTGATTCAATCTTATTGGTGGAATGAATAAAAAATTCATTTCTCTCTCCTCTATAAAACAATTCTTTATATTTGGACTGTTCTTTATGTTTCTCTATTTTAGATAACAAGATAGAGAATTTGTTAGAGTCATATAGATAAAAAAAACTTTATTTTCAACCACAAGGGTGATGTCTGATTGGTTTGAGCTTGGCTCCAAAGATCAAAAGTATCAGGAGGTTGCAGGTTCAAATCCAAGGAGAAATAGCAACTTAGTTTGCGTTTCATTCGCAAAATGCTTTCTTGCCTTATAGAACTGACATTTGTCCCCTCCTTCCGGTTTTGACTCACTTAAAGTCCGGACTCCCGTGGGAGGCAGCAGTGGGGAATCTTGGACAATGGGCGAAAGCCTGAATTTTACAGTATCCCCTTACCCGCTCCGTACCTAGTATATAATTTTATTAATATATTTTATATAATATATGTATATGTGTGTGTGTGTATATATATATATATATATATATATGATTTATTTTCTAAAATTATGTCTTGACCAGAGACGAGGATCGGGTTTTGACTGGAAAATAAACCGGGGATGAAATATTAATCCCCATACCCGTTGAGGGCATTCATAAAAACCGGGGGCAGGGCAGGGGATTAAAAAACTCGTCCCATCCCTGCCCTTTTTCCATGCCTACTTGATATACAAGAAAACTTAATATATACAATTTTGTCCATCTCATTTACAAAACTTGAAAGCAAAACGCAAACTATAATTGATCATTTTTATATTTATGAAAGTAAAGGGACTATTTTATAGTTTTGTGTAAACAACAAGGACTAAAATTGAAGTTTACTCTAATGCTTGCTTATAATATATTTCTCCATCTTCGATTCCTCACCTCCCTTTTATCTCAAATCGTTTGACCATGAAATTACGTATGCTCACAAAACCTGGATATTAACAAACGGTTGAAAAGTTAAGATGAGAATTGTAATTAGATGTATATTAGGATGAAATGCACTGTATCTGTAACACCCCAAAAATACATATACCAAAAAATCACGAGAGAGAGAGAGAGCCCAAAGCATAAAATAAAATTTAACCAATAAGAGAAATAGAATGGCGGTTACAATCCGGCTAATCGAGATGATAAATAACGACTTATTAATCTACATCCTAAATCTAGATTAAAGACGGGGGTTTCTAACATTCTTCAAAAGTCGAAATGTCCAAAAACGCAACGCGCAAGAGAAATAAA